TATATATATATATATATATATATATATATAAATTTTTTAAATCAGGAGGTCAATTAAATTAGTTGACCTCCTGATTTTTTAAACTTTAAATCTCTACATGTTATTATTTTTATTTTTACTTGTTTTTTCACGTGTATTGAGCACTTTTTAATATTCCCTATTCTGATTTAACGTTTACATATATTATATATATATATATATATATATATATATATATATATATAATTGTCTTATGATTGTATATTGTACACGTGAAAAAATATATATAAAATTGTCTTATGATTGTATATCGTACACATGTGAAAATATATATATAAAATTGTTTTATGATTGCATATTGTACACATGTGAAAATATATATATATAATTGTCTAATGATTGTATATTATATATATGTGAAAATATATATATAAATTTGTCTAATGATTGTATATTGTATATATGTGAAAATATATATATAAAATTGTCTTACGATTGTATATTGTACACATATGAAAATAGATATATAAAATTGTCTTATGACTATATTGTACACATGTGAAAAAATATATAAAATTGTCTTACGATTATATATTGTACGCATATGACAAATATGAATATTAAACTTTCCTTGGGTTTATTTGAATCAAAAGGGATAAATAACCTGTCTGTTTATTTTCAGCCATCTTTTCTCAAAGTCCACTTTGATGAAAACACACAAAAGAAATTTTCATCAATAACAGTTTCACAATTTTCCAAGACAAGAGACATATCACTTGATTGTGAATACAAAACATATTACCAGATTTTTCTCATGGCCATTTCCTCATATATATATATATAATTTTTTTTTAAATGTGTTTTTCTTTCAGGAGTCCACAAAGACGAAGAACGACACTCACGAAATGCTGACGGTGTGTTACACTACGCTCTACTCTCATTTTCCCCCTCTGTATATCTCTCTCTTCCTTTCTGTCACTCTGTATATATCACTTTCAGTTTTCTTTCCATTCTGCTCGCATAGAAACTCTTAGAGAGAACACCCGTTTATTCCTCCTTCTTCTCTCGATCATTTCTTTTCGTCCATATGTGTTGCTAGAAAATGTCTTATCTGAACGCAGTGCTATGCCATAGAGACAATAATGATATGTTTTTTTTTTTCTAGGAAGTTTTATATAAAGTTTAAAGTCGTCAAAGCTACACTAAATATCCAAACATGGTATTTCTTATCCCGCAGCAACACATTTGGACTTGTTTTCCTTCTAATATTTAATTTTTTCATTTGCATTTTTAATGCAAGTGACATGCATATATCCATGCAAGTGAATTTTAAAATATTTAGCTCCAGGTACTTCCGTCTGTGTCTCCAGACTGTGTGTTTCTGCCTGCATTTTTTTTTCTTACTGCTTTGTTCATCACTGCTGGGCGGGGGGTCAGGTGGATATATTAGTTAAAAATTTTTTTTCTGCACTATATTGCAAAATGTTCTTTCTTGAATTTATAGATTTTTCGACCTTGTAGATATTTAGAAAATACAACCGATAAATTCAAATCCGTAGATTCACAAATAAAACTGACTTTCGCCCCCTTGCAATCGAATTGAAACTTTCATTGAAACTCTGCAACTCCCTAGAATAGCTCCGCCAACCATATCGTGAGTGGTGTTGACTTTATAGTCAGCCAATGTCACGCCTTTTACTACTTTAGTAGTTCTTTCAAGGATAATCATTCAACTTAATTCTACGTTATATTAGGTTGGTGCAAAAATAATGTCGTTTTTTGACGTTCAACTTAACGTCAAAAAACGACATTGTTTTTGCATCAACCTAATATATTTTTTTCGGGATTATTATGGTTTATATGGAGGCACGGTGGAGTCAAATCTACTACATAATAATGCTAATACCCGTGGGAAGGGTATGAATCCTCTTCCTCCCTCCCACTCTCATCTATGAGTAAAAAGGACAGACCGGTTTCTAAAACCTCTACCGCAGAAAGAAATAGCAACCTACAGCGGGAAAAAATCAGCCTCGTCAGTCATGTATCGAAAGATACATGATCGCCTATGCGTGTATCACGTATGGTACATGTGACTGATGGCTTATATCTATTGATATATCGTCAACGTGAATCCTCTTCTTCTTCTTCTCCCTCCTCCCACCTATGGTTAAATAGCAGGACAGTCCAGATTCTATAGAATTTGGATGGCGACTGGTCTAGCGCAGAAAAAAATGGCAACCTACTGCGGGAAAAAAATCTGCCACGTGAGTTATGTATCGAAAGATAAATGATCGCCTAAGCGCGTATCACGCATGGCACATAACTGACTGATGGTTTATATTTATTGATATGTCGTCGACATGAATTCTTCTTCTTCTCTACAGCTATGGGTAAATAGCAGAACAGACCGGGTTCTATAGCCTCTACCGCAGAAAGAAATGGCAACCTACTGCGGGGAAAAATCTGCCTCGTCAACGATACTGAGAACGGGAGATGAAGGTGACCGATGAGTTGTGTTCAATACACAGCTAAGGCACTTGTATCCACTAAAACACTTATAGGAGGAATGAATACATCATTTCTTTCACTCCCCAGTTATAGTTGGCAGCCAGTCCAGAAGGGAAACGCTGAATTCAAGCCCAGAAGTGTTTGACGTCATCTCAACTCTTTAATGACAATTTATGTGTAGAACAATCAATGAAGATTGAATTCTCTACTCAATAGTAATGCTCAACTGGAATGTATTTGCTAAGAATGACTGACTCGCCATCTTTCCTAAGGTAACACCTAAAAAGTAACAAAAAATTGTGGAGTGGGGCTTTCAATATTGCCACCTAAAAACCTATTTGTTAAAACAGAATAGGTTCGCAAGTTGAAGACCAATTGAATCGATAATCCATATTAGAACAGCGCAAAAAGAAAGTGAGTAATATAAGAAGACTGTGTAGAGCCAATCTTTCAAGTGGGAAGTCTTATCTGTCTTGAAAGATCAATACTGGAAATGCTATTTTTTAACTTTTCGAACGGTGACCACTTGTGCTGGTAAAAGCCTGCAACTCTCTGTCATCAAGCACTCTTTATTATTATTATTGTTTTATTTCCTTTGGTTTCTTTCCGGGTCCCGACCAAAGACCTAAGGTCAGAAATGGCATCATGACATTTTTCACTGAGCAGTTTTGAAAAAAATATCACACGTATTTTACGTAGATAAAGCCTTTCGCAAGGTGTGAACTGTACAGTTTTTTATATTACTTTAAGGCATCAGCTATCAAAGATTCCTTCAATAAGTCTATTGGAATCTATTCCAAGCAACCCGAGGGATCCAACTAAAACTGAAATCGCCAATGTCCCCATGTGCCACATTTTTGAGATTTCGATTTCAAGGTCCTTGTGTTTTGATAGTTTTTTGAAGATCTTCAAAGATACATTGCCGTCCGCAAGGACTATCATGTCAATAAGGAGGCACATTTTGTCTCTGTCTTTGTCAGGACGATTAGCATTGATTGTTCTGTCTGTGTGTGTTGTAAAATCCCATAAAATTGTTACAGGTCCTATTTCCGTAACCGTGTCTGGGTGGCGTGCATACCAATTTCTTGCGGTTTCCTTTCAGTAAGCGTTGCAGATTTTCCAGTGCAGATATTGGCCCATTCTGTCATGCCTTGTTTTATATTTAATGGATGCCAATACCGCGCAACTTGATACAAGATGATCAATTGTTTCTGGATATTTATCACAGAATCTGCATTTTGGACTATCATAATTGTTCAATGTTTGCTTTGTAATTTCTAGCTAGTAAGCATTGGTCCTGTGCAGCAGGAATAAAACCTTCTTATTAAAACATTATTATTATTATTATGATATCGCACATTGACGTAGTCAGTGAGAATTCTGTTCTTAATGCATGGTGTCAACAAGACTCCTCAGAATATAAATGATGACAGATTCCTGGAGGTCTAAAATGTTTGTCTTTTTTTACTGGTTGCCACACTTGCGAACACAGGTGCAGCTGATCCGTCACGTGAATCTGCAATCGGCATCTTGGAGGTCAACTCAGGTCAACCATACACCTTGATTCTCTGACGTCACACTGGCTAAAAATTATATTCTAGTAATGAGCAGGACTGAGACACATGCTACAAGAAGATTGTATAGAACGAATTTTCCAGGCGGTACAATTCCGAGTCACGGCTAGAGATTTCAAGAGGCAAGTCTTTTGCATCAGACGCTGCAAACAGATGCGGTGCCATGCAATCCGGGGTAGAAAAATAATGTAATTTTGTTCACTGCATGGAGAGAAATTTACTCAAGACGTAAGAAGTACAAATATGTATGATTTTTGACAATTCACTTATTTTAGGGGTTCTATGAATTTGATCCACACATTTATCTGCTCCTCTTGATATCATCCACAAAGCCCCGATAACAACGGGTAATGTTGTCTTGAGAAACTACATTCTACTGATTTCTATCTCGAAGCACTTGTATTTTCTAAAACGTTTTCAAAGATGTGCTTTTTCTCAGTTGGCGCTACAACATTTATCAGATGACGTATTTTCAATATCCTTTTTCACAATTATGTCTGGACGATGATTTACCTGGATTTCCCTATCAGTTTGAACACTGGCATTCCAGAAGATGGCAAACTCATAATTCTGTACAATTTGTGGTGGCTTATTTTCCCACGAATTCTCTTTGAGAGGGAATTTGAATGGGCGACATATTGACCAATGAAAACGTACTTACTATTCGCCTGAATATTTAAAAGTATTTTTAATCATGAAAAAACATTGAATTAGAACGTTATTTTTTAAGAGTAAGCATTTACAGAAATCTACAAATGTATTTTTCACGTATTCGTTCTTTCTAGCAGGTCGAAAATTCTAGAAATATAAAGAAATAAAAAAAATCATTTTGCAATATAAAGAAAACACTACTTAAGTATGTCCATCGTTCGTAAATGCAAACATCACGTGTCTCCATAACACATTTCCTCTTTCCATCTTTCTCCATTTCTGTCATGGTCAATAGATAGATACAGACACGATTGTCTCCTCTTTTTCATCCCTTGGCACTTTTCCATTTCGATTTTTTATCACTTGCCTCGATGGATTCCAATTCCCGACAAGGAACACTGAATGCTTTCCTCCTTCTCTGTTCTCCACAAAATAAATGTCAGCTCTAATTTTGAAACACGCATAAATGTATTTCGCATGAATATTATTATATAGAGATATATATAGATAGATATAAAGGATGTTCCAATAACTTGGACTGATTTTAAATGGGAATTAAGTTTAAGCGCCTAATGATTTTTTTTCTTTTCTTACAGATTTAACAATTTAAGTTTTTGGCAATTTCAACCCTGGAAAGATTAACAATCAAACAACGTGTTAAAGTTTCAAGAGTGCAATTGGAAAAAAAAAATGTTCGTAAATTCAAACAAACTGGATCAGTGGCAGATGTGAAAACACCATTGTGTGCTCGTTTACGCCGTTCAGCTGAAAACATTGCTGCAGTGCATGAGAATGTGTCCGAAAATCCAAACACCTCTATTAGTCATCGCGCGCAGGAATTGAACCTCTTCACAACAACGTTACATCATTTCCAATTGCACTCTCGATTATGGTGACCAAAAACTCGCGAAGTGCGATAAATGCATTTTTGTATGAACGTCTATTTTCGTAATAGTTTTCATTAACTTTAACACGTTGTTTGATTGTTAATCTTTCCAAGGTTGAAATTGCCAAAGACTTAAGTTGTTAAATCTGAAAGAAAAAGAAAAAAAAACATTAGACGCTTAAATTAATTCACATTTAAAATCGGTCCAAGTTATTGGAACAACCTTTAGTTATAAATATACCACAGAGGTATCTTAGATTTTACGAATGAACAGTGAGGTTGTTGTTTGAAAGCACGTTCTTTGAGTTCAGTAATTAAAAATAATAAAATCAAATAATAGTTATGAACCTCAATGTATAAAGTCATTTTATTTAAGCTTTGCCAATTTTATTGGAATTTTGGGGGGTGTTACCTGAAAGATTATCATTCACTAAACCAAAATGAACTTACTTTATATAGTTTCGGGAACAGATTCTCATGTAGATCAAACTCGCCATCATTACATGATCCATATCTCCATGGCTTTGGCTATCTTGATATATTACGTATGAAATATATATGCTTTATACGTAATATATCAGGATTGGCCAAGCCGTGACTCGCGAGTCACATGCATCTCTTTGACCTTTAATATGCAGCTCGTGAGAATATAATGGCTCTGCTCCTTTTATTATCACAGTTAATATAAAAGATAAATAATAAAAATTTCAAGCTTTATAATTATTTATGCGGGTATGAAATGAGACCCCACTAGATTAACAATTTAAGTTTAATGTTAATGTGTATGTAATAAAAACGTATGTGTAAACTTTGTGCGCCGCAGCTCTCAAACATCTGAACTTTATCTTATGTGGCTCCTATATTAAGGATGTTTGGCCACCACTGTAATATATCTATTTTCGCTAAACGGCAACAAAATATTTCCGTTTTGGCGGTGGAACAGTAACGAGAAAACAAAAATGGTAAGGTGGGCGGGAGATTTTGCACCGCTGTTTTGAGGGGATCATCTCTCATTTTCCATTCTCCTTCAGAAACCCTGCTAAAGAATATGATAGGTGTGAAAATAACTCCATTACGGCCAACGTCTCATCTGTAGATAACTCATTTAAAAATATCCACTTATATAATGGCAATTATTACAAATTTAGTATAGTTTAAAATGGCGGAATACTTTTGATTTTTACTAATATATATATATATATATATATATATATATATATATATATATATATATATATATATATAAATATGTAAAGAACAGTAAGATATAAAATCCGGTGTTCTTAACTGTGTCATCGAAAATAACCATATTTTAAATCAATTAATTTATAATATATATATATATATATATATATATATATATATATATATATATATATATATATATTGAAACAACGCTAAAGATTAACATTCACGAGTCAGACACTCTACGGAATCTGACTATATCGCCAATACCACCAGCAGCTGTTCCGTAATTCTTCAGTCTTCGATATCAAAGGCTGGCAGTGAATATTCGGGGAAAAAACATGGCCGCCTTTATACACGTCACATTGAATATTTTTAGCTTTCTGATTGGTTAACCCTTCTATTGGTGAACTATAAAATGAGTCAGCTCATTTTGGCTGGCTCACTAGTACACCAGGGTACCCAAAAATTCCAATATATATATATATATATATATATATATATATACATTATACAGCAAAAAATCCTAAATTATCTCATGTGGGTATAGTCTATTTCATATCAGCACAGGAATATGCCTGTCCTCCTCAGCCCTAGACAGGAGTACGTGCAGATGACTGTTCTGGTCTATACCCACCTGAGGTAATTTGGGATTTTTTTATGCATTTCATACCACCACAGCCATATGCCAGTGCTCCTCAGCCCTAGACAAGAGAACTGGCTGTGCTGGTTTGAAATAGACTATACTTACATGAGGTAATTTGGGATTTTTTGCTGTATAAAAAATATATCCTCTGTTATATTAAATATATTGAATTGTCTCTGTGGATCAGTTTTAATATTGGGTATTACTAGGATCCACATGAATTATATACCAATGAATCTATTACCTGTATTGTTTATATTTATATATATATATATATATATATATATATATATATATATATATATATATATATATATATATATTGTCTGTTTGTTTGAACTCCTGGTTAGTTACATATTTAAAAAATGGTGGTAGATTCTGCTACAAAAAATGTTCAAATACTAGTGGGTACAACTTGAGTGAAAAGGTACAAGTGTACATTTCGAACGCCACAAATTTATTTATTTTTTTAAAAAATGCATGTTGGTGTTCACAGCTCCACAATTTAAAAAGAAAAAATATATTACCATTAATGAGTGCATGCCCCTCACCAGAAATTCGGGATTTAATTCAAAATGCACGTACAGCTATTCAGTCTAAATTTGAATGAGGTGCAAGCAATTATTTGCAAACATTAATTGCGTAAATCTGTTTTTGTATGTATTTTTATCTTTTCGTTTTTACTTAATGAAATGTGTTTGTTTTGTCATTTCATTGTATTCTTATTTGTAAAGAAACTTACTTCTATATATACTTATGTACGTCTCATTTTGTATATATATATATATATATATATATATATATATATATATATATATATGAACAGACTTAGATAAAGAGAGTGAATACGAGATAGAATAGATTGAATTAGAAAGCGAGATATGAAGAAATTTTGAGATAGATAGATAGATAGATAGATAGATAGATAGATAGATAGATATGAACAGACATAGAAAAAGAGAATGCGTACGAGAGAGAAAGGACTGAGTTAGAGAGAAAGCAAATATGGCCGAGACAGAGAGAAAAGACTGATAGATAGATAGATAGATAGATAGATAGATAGATAGATAGATAGATAGATAGATAGATAGATAGATGAGAAAACGGGAATAGAAAGAAAGAAAGAAAGAAAGAAAGAAAGAAAGAAAGAAAGAAAGAAAGAAAATACTGGGACATAAATAGATAGATAGATAGATAGATAGATAGATAGATAGATAGATAATGATAAAACAAGAAAGAAAGAAAGAAAGAAAGAAAATACTAGGACATAGATAGATAGATAGATAGATAGATAGATAGATAGATAGATAATGATAAAACAAGAAAGAAAGAAAGAAACAAACAAACAAACAAACAAACAAACAAACAAACCATCAAACAAACAAACAAACAAAGAAAATACTAGGAGATAGATAGATAGATAGATAGATAGATAGATAGATAGATAGATAGATAGATAGATAATGAAGTGTCTTCGGTCGATTAATTTCAATAAAAGATTGAATTTTCAGTATATATCATTGTAGGTTAGATAGAAACTATTATTACTTTATTGCACAGCCCTACAGTGGTACAACAATATATGCTACTATTTTAATATCTTATTTCCTTCATGACATGGATATTGAACAACTGCTTTGAAAATTAAGGAAAGACTTGAAACCAGAAATACGTGTTCCTCTCATCAAAATTGCAAATATCTTAATCGATCGGCTTTTAAATAACCGATTACTAAAAATTACTAGAAAACAGCTAAACCATTTTGGGATATATAAGGCGGAAAAAAGTTTTGGAGAATTTAACACACCCATGGCATATTAAAGAAAAGAAAAGCAGATGGAAACATTGAGTAAATTACATTTTGATGGCAAATAGATAGAGAAATAATAATCAATAAACGAGCAACAAAGGACAGGATGCTGTGGAGAAACATGATCACCCAAGATCTGAAGAAACAGAGAAAGAGATAAAGAGAAGCACACTACTATTATCGTGAATGTTATTATTTTATTAGATGAAGCTTTAACAACCATTATTAATTTTTAACTAGTATTTCATTCATTTTAATTGCAATTACATTTTTATTGCAACTACTCAAACTCCCAGTCCATGACCATCAGTAAACAAGCAGTAATATTATCTTAGTTTTATTAGATGAAGTATTGTCAACCATTATTTATTTTTGACTAGTATTTTTTTTTATCTTAATTTAAAGAAACTACGTTCGGATAGCTACTTAAGTTTCACGTTACCACGATCATCAGGCGACCCGAACGCAAATGAATGAAGTGGGAACGTAATATTTAGCGAGATTTATCTGCGTACCTTGAAATCCGCAAAATCAAAATTATCCCTTTTCATCTGAGCCCAAATACTGACATTTGTTATTGGCGGAAGGATACCAAATTGAAATGGATTCAGTACGCGATTACTGCACTATATATGTTATTGGCGGAAGGATACCAAATTGAAATGGATTCAGTACGATTACTGCACTATATATGTTATTGGCGGAAGGATACCAAATTGAAATGGATTCAGTACGCGATTACTGCACTATATATGTTATTGGCGGAAGGATACCAAATTGAAATGGATTCAGTACGCGATTACTGCACTATATATGTTATTGGCGGAAGGATACCAAATTGAAATGGATTCAGTACGCGATTACTGCACTATATATGTTATTGGCGGAAGGATACAAATTGAAATGGATTCAGTACGCGATTACTGCACTATATATGTTGAATTGGCGGAAGGATATCAAATTGAAATGGATTCAGTACGATTACTGCACTATATATGTTATTGGCGGAAGGATACCAAATTGAAATGGATTCAGTACGCGATTGCACTATATATGTTATTGGCGGAAGGATATCAAATTGAAATGGATTCAGTACACGATTACTGCACTATATATGTTATCATTGGCGGAAGGATACCAAATTGAAATGGATTCAGTACGCGATTTGCACTATATATGTTATTGGCGGAAGGATATCAAATTGAAATGGATTCAGTAAACTCTATATAAAATGAAATCTAGGCGATTACTGCACTATATATGTTATTGGCGGAAGGAACTAAATTGAAATGATTCGACGATTACTGCACTATATATGTTATTGGCGGAAGGCGAAAAATATCGATTTGTTTTATATGTTATTGGCGGAAGGATACCAAATTTTTTTTCTAATTTTATATATCAAAACGCAAAACGAAAATAGAAGACTTAACGAAAAATATCGTTTGTTTTTATGAATGTTTTTTATAACTCAACACGACAATAGAAGACTTAACACACAGCAACAACTCACCTGACGACAGATAAAAAGCAGAAATAATCCATATCACTCCAAATATGATACCGAGGAATTTTTTGCTTCACAGTCGACACTTTCGCAGTACGAAAATGTTGGCAATGAAATAAGATTCGGAAAAGTTAATTTCCCTCAGGTGGAAAAATAGCAGAATTTGATGGAGGATTAGTTATAATCCTCTTAAATCATGCTGATTAACAAGATTTAGCAGATCTTACACAGAAATATAGCATAGATGTGGTACGAGCAAGATAAACATACATATATAAATATATATATATGTGTGTGTGTGTGTGTGTGTGTGTGTGTGTGTGTGTGTGTGTGTGTGTGTGTGTGTGTGTGTGTGTGTGTGTGCATGCATACATATATATATATGCACTAGGTTTTAAAGATGTCTTCTTTTAGCTTATATATATATATGTGTGTGTGTATTTTATGCATATATATATATATATATATATATATATATATATATATATATATATAAACAAATGTTAAGAGGCCGGAAGAATACCGTACCACAAGATGTGCTCAATGCAGCTGCCTTGAAAAACGACATACATGGCAAGTATCGACAACAGTAGCTAGAAGATCTATGTACGTTGTAACAAAGGCCCATTTAAGAAACATTGGTAGAATCCCAAGGTGGAGAAACGTGGGTACAATGCAAAATTGGCTGGTCGCGTTTGGAAATTAAAGGATGAACATGGCAAAAGCACAAACATAAAGTTGAGTATCTTCAAGACAAATCAAACCGAGCAGAACAAGCGGTAGAAGATGTAGACTGTGACAGGAAGAGAAACTGGCTATAGCAACTTATAAGAACATCAGTATGCTGTTAAATAACAGAACAGAAATAATGTCTAGGTGTAGACATATAAGTAAAAAAATATTCTCGGTCTCTACGAATTCCGGATAAAGAATTTTTTCTACACTTCCTTCCCTTCTCTACTTCCGGTGGCATAGCTTTATAATTGTAGTATGGTATAAAATAAAGGGTAAAAGATTTTTGTGTAGCCGCACACAACCTTGGATTCGACAATCAGATCTCTTCAGATTGCGGGCAATAGTCTTCGTTATATATATATATATATATATATATATATATATATATATATATATATATATATATATTTTATATACTCGAGTTGTTCAACCACATCTTACTCTAAATCAGTGGTTGCCAAACTTTTTAGCTTATGACCCACTTTGAACACAGAATTTTTCTGTGACCAATGTAATTATTATAGAATTTTCTTTCTACAGTCAGAAAAAAACGGTATTTTTAATGCCTGACTAATTTACAGTTATTCAAACACTAAGTAATTAATAGATTTTCATAATCTTAACGTATTAAAATTATTTACATACAGCTGATTTCATTAATTTAAAAACTAGTAGTCAAGAAAAGCTCTATGGACCGTTCAGTAAGCTGTGGCCCATACATTTGCCCGGTTACACAGCAAAAATTATAAAATTTCTGTGACCCACCGGAAATTTGTCATCATCCATTTTGTTTTAAATGAATATCGACAAAGTGTTCAACTTCAGGTTTCAAATCAGTAGAAAATACCAATAATAGATATCCGGTCCGCTGGTTTTCATGCAAAAAAAACTTGTCTAGCGGAACAACGTTTAAGATGAGAATGATGGTAAAGTTTAACAAATGTACCCGCAAAAAAAACGGTGTTTCAAAAGGACACATTTTATCTTGACACCACTATTAATGTAGACTCCCCAGTCATTATTTTATTTCATTTTAAAAAGCTATTTTTATAATTTTTTTATAAAATCTAAACATGAAACATGATTTATATATTTTTTCTCGTGATGTGACAACAAATTTTTAAACACTATTTATTTATTAGTTTATGTACAAAAATATTTTTTCATATTTACAAGATTATAAGCATATGTAAATCAACTACAAGACAATATTTATTATTGATCATATTATAAAGTAGGTACCTTCACTTGCGCGCTTAAAAAACAGCATAGCATGATGAAAAAATAATAATTAATAAAAACAAAATTTTATCGTCAAAAGGTTTGTTATTATTAAGAAGAAAAACCAAAGTAATTATTTTTATTATTTTATTATTTTTTTAATCCTTTCTAGCACGTTCGAATCTGAAATTAAAAAAAAGGACGTTACACAGAATAATGAAAACCTAGCTATGGTGTTGCCACATTGTACAAAACCAGCTGGGAAAAGGTTTATCAAAATCAATTCACAGAAAACCGAGACATCCTTAATTTCACTACCAAGCTATTTAGCGTGATTTGGGTGTATAGATTGATAAGAACGGACTGAAATAGTAGATAGATAGATAGATAGAGATAGATAGATAGATAGATAGATAGATAGATAGATAGATAGATAGATAGATAGATCATGAACAAATTCAGGTAGGTACGTAGATAGATAGATAGATAGATAGATAGATAGATAGATAGATAGATAGATAGGTAGGATGTAGATAGATAGACCATGAACAAATTCAGATAGATAGATAGATAGATAGATAGATAGATAGATAGATAGATGAACAAAGTCAGATAGATAGATAGATAGATAGATAGATAGATAGATAGATAGATAGATAGATAGATCATGAACAAAGTCAGATAGAAAGATCATGAACAAAGTCAGATAGATAGATAGATAGATAGATAGATAGATAGATAGATAGATAGATAGATCATGAACAAAGTCAGATAGAAAGATCATGAAATTCAGGTAGGTACATAGATAGATAGATAGACAGATAGATAGATAGATAGATAGATAGATAGATAGACAGATAGATAGATAGATAGGTAGATAGATAGATAGATAGATAGATCATTTCATTTGAACAGTCTAAATATTTAATTTCATATTTTTAGCCATAATGTTATATAATTCTTTTGCTCTTGCTTTTCTTGTGTTTGTTGTTTTTGCTATTATTATTATTATTATTATTGTCGTTGTTTTTTATTTGTTACATTTTGTTTTTTTTTTAAATTTTGCTTTGTCTGTTTTCATTGTTATTCTTGATTTGCTCTGAATGGAAATAATGGCTGATCCTTTCGTATCTATTTTAATAATTTTTTTTTTCAATTTTCACTTTTCCTCGTTTATATTTTAACCTTCATATTTATATTCATTTTTTTTTTTGTTGCAACTTCTGTTCCTAAACCATTTCTCACTGTATTTACTTTCATTCTCCAGACTATCGGTGTTTATCAATGAATTCCATGCGATAACCATCAAATAAAATTATGCTTTCAGACTTATCACTCATCTGGAATCGAAACCAATGACTGTAAATCAAGTAGACATTTTTATCATTTGGTACAACGGTTTCTTGAAACTGATACCTACAATCGGCTTTTATTTGCTTTTCAATAATTATATAATGTATTCCATATGTATATACACTTTATATTTCTACTTACTAGATAGGTAATATTTAGTGGGTACATATGTTTAAATAGACATCTTAATTTCTTTCAGCAGTGAAATTTCCTTCTACCGATTTGTGTTTTTCGAGAGTCTTTAATGTGCATTGGCACAGATTGAACCTGCGTCCTCCTCACTTATATACGAATATGGCGGAAACCAGCGTATAGCTTGGCAGGGTTTTAAAGCGTTCATTCATGCCATGCCGTCTTTTCTCCTACATGAGTGGGATGCGAATACGGACCCGGCCGAATAACACATTTCTTATATTAAAGGCACTCGAAAAACTTCCACCCAATAGACGAAAATTGTACTGCTAAAAAAACAGATTTATCTACCCAAATATGTGTACCCACTGAATTATAAATAATATACATTTGTTTATAGATAGATAGATAGATAGATAGATAGATAGATTAACACACTGCGCTAGATAGTGTATTAGACATGTTTTTGTCGGCTCCATTCTATTCTTTTAAAGCGCTGGAATTCGAATTATTTCAAAATGGCGTCATATGCAACGGCTAAATGAAGCTAGAATGCACGGCTGAAAACCCCAATGACAACACCCAGTTCTTGATAATGGCTGGGGCGGTAGAGAATACTTGAGCAAAACAGAACAAAACATGAATTTCGGACATTTATCTCAAACTTTGATCTCGATGTACGACATTCTATCGAAAATTGGAAAAATACAATACAAAATTAAACAGACTGACCTTATCGGTTGAATTTAACAAAACTTATTTGGATGGATTCATTCTGCCTAAATATCCCTTATATTTTGAATATAGATATATAATTATAATTATTTTCTAATTTCTAGACAAAGCTAGGTTAGGGGAAGCTACGGGTGAGTCGCTTGGGCTAAGTGCCTGATTGTTCAATAATCTGAATATGTGAAGTGAATTACAAAATTTTGAATGTAAAAAGATTAAGGATGGCTCCAATTGACAAAAGCCCAAAATAAATGGGTAAACAGCGACAATTAAATTCACTTTTGACGTGGCCGATTATGGCGAAACACAGATTATTATCTGTAAGTCTCCTATGGATCCTTGGAACAGATAATGAAGTGGTTTCTTTATTCTTTTTTTGTCTTTCTCCACCATTTTGAATTCAAAGCTTCCCTTTTCTTACATTGGCAACCACTTAAAAGCGTGAGAGTCCCGTCTATTCTATTATGTAACTCATAGTAGGGAGCTGAAAAGATGTATTCATGCCTTTCTCAGGAATAATTGGTGCGAAATATGAATGTAGTGAGCTAGACCAAGTTTTGAACTCTGCCTGCTGATTCCAGTTTCGGTGTCGATAACCGTTACGCTACCTGCGCATACGCGCGCTCAATGCAACAGCGAATTGGTCTGTGAAAGGAAATGGAAAGACAACACACCGCAGTAGACATCAAAACAGATAGATAGATAGATAGATAGATATTTATAGAAGATAGATATTTAACAGACTGAGATAGATAGATAGATAGATAGATAGATAGATAGATTGAGATAGATAGATAGATAGATAGAACAGACAGACAGACAGACAGACAGACAAATGAACAAAATGAAATAGATGAATTAACAGAATGAAATAGATAGATAGATGAACATAAGGAAATAGATGGATTAACAGAATGAAATAAATGGATAAACAGAATTAGATAGATAGATAATCAACGTCCATAACATATTTCTACGTTGACAATAAAATGACTTATCCGGTTGTACTCTTTTTCTCTGGCTCTAGTATCTGGAGTTCAAATCCAGGTAAAAGAAAGGATTTCGAATGTTGATTTTTAAGGCAAACAATTCTTTTTTGTTTGAAAGATTGGATCAAGACAATATCCCAATTCGCAGATTTTATCAATTTCTATCGCTTTTGCCTTACGAATTTGACTCTGATAAATATCTATAGACAAATTCGATAACTTACAGCGGAAGGAATTACTACTTTTAACGGCTGTGTTACTACTTGTTCCGGCTCAAATTTTGTTTTTAATCATTTCACCCCAAGCAAGACAATAAAACCACTAAGACGTTACTGAATGTTAGAGAATATGAGAAAAATATACTATTAAGGAGAGACGACAATAAAAGAACAAGAATTAAGAAGATAGAAGATAACGATTGACATTGCGTTTGAATTTTTGAAGATCAAAGTTAATACTTGTTAAGGCTATGATCTCTTAACAGTGGAGGTGATGGATTACTCCTTGCTGTTGATAACATGTAAACAATTTCACCTTGCTGCGTGAGGAGATAGCCTTCCGACGAACCGAAAGGTAAAAGTTGCTAAGTGATTTTAATTCGATCTTAGTTTGGAGTTTGGCTTGGACACCCAGCAATTATAATAATAATAACAATAATAAAAATTATTATTATTATTATTATTATATGCTTTTTCTACGTTTTAAGGCGTAAAAGATTTGCTCTTTTTATATGCCAGTAGACGTATGTAAAAATTATAATATATAGCATCCTCTATAAGAGCCAGATCAGGTCCAAGATGGTGTACTGTTACCATTCTTAGGCGGTAGCTGTCCAGTCCTCACTTTCCAAACTTGATAGAGTTCAAAAGCGTCTCCGAGTCCTTGTTGCAGAAGAATTATTTTCCACCCTCCATTCTCTCTCCCTCAGGCGGGATGTGGCTACTGCTCTATGGCTACTTCCATGGAAAGTACTCGGACGAACTACACTCGTTGGTTCCGCCAGGGATAACCTTCACGACGAAGACCCGCCCTGCAACTTACATAGAAGTAAATCACCCGCATTGCATCTGCGAGAAGTAGGTTCCACTTATAGAGCTTCTTCCTACGAACCATTGGAACAGGCTCCCTCGAGGTTGTTTCCCTCATCACTACAGCCTTAACCTCTTCAAGTCTAACCGTTATCTTTCCCTCATATCCATATAAACTGATGTAAATCTCGACCTCGAGTGGCCCCGGCCCTGGAACAGGATGAACCTTACAAATATATATATATATATATATATATATATATATATATATATATATATATAAAGAGAATTTTGATGACGTTGTTGTTCCGCCAATGAACCATTTAAAAATATATTTCCAGGAAGAAGAAAATCAGTGAGGCAATGAAGATGTTGTTCTTGTAAATGTGAAATATTCCGTCCGAACCGACTTATATATATATATATATATATATATATATATATATATATATATATATATATATATATATATATATATATATATATAGTAAATATTTTTGTTTCATTCTAACTCTGATTTTATTATTGTTGAAATTATTTTTCCAGAAAAAAATACTGTAAGGATTGATAGGAATTGTATTTGTATTCCATTTTTCGACATGGAAACCGTTTCTATAGCCGAAACGGACCTTTACTCAAATAGGTTTAATCACTAAAACTAAATTTTATAGTAATAACGAATATATATATATGTGTGTGTGTATGTGTGTGTGGTAATTATGAATTTCACTAAGAAATTAAAAAAATGAATAGCAGCTCAAACATATGTACCCATTAAAATTAATTTCATATATATATATATATATATATATATATATATATATGGTGTAACAGCAAAATTGTCCAGATCGTGTAACACCGAAATTGTCCAATAGTTAGATTAATTTCGGAACCGTTGTATCTTAGAAATGAATAAAGATATCTTACTGGAATTCTCCGATGTTTTTATAATACTATTGGACTCTACTTTGAGCAATTGAAATGTATAATTACTCTCCAAGCTTAACAGAAAAATCGTGATGTAATCGATCACAAACGAAAATGTTCATCATTAATTAATCATAACTTAGGATCGAAAGACCATGAAGGATTGAAATAATGTTCAAATATATATATATATGTATTATTCAGGATTATTTTCCAACTTATTCAAGATGATCTTCGCCCTCTCTAATCTTCTAACTTTCTGTCCTAGAATAACACCATGCCTCATATGTTCCACGTATTATTTCATTTTCATGACTGAAACTCCTCTCTCACGTGCCAAACGTTTTATGGATTTAGTTGGATCTTTTTTAATTGATCTCTTCAGCTCTCAGTTGAAATGATGATCCCTCTTCCTGTTATGACCTCCTGATCCAGTTTTCCTCTCTACTGATACCTCTTTAATCAGCGTTCTATTAATGGTTCTTGAATGGACTATGAAAATGAAAGC